AACTGAGCCAGTTTATCCAAAGCAACTGCAAATCAGCTCAGCGGGCACCGGGGGCGGCGCCCGGGTGGGGCCGAGGGGCGTTTTGGGGGGTCCTGGGGGTGTCCCGGGGGGTCCTGGGGGTGTCCCAGGGGGTCGGAGCTGCCCCGTGGTCCTTCTGGGGGTTCAGCATCCAGTGGCACTCGGGGGTTTGGGGGATTTAGGGGGATTCAGGTATTCAGGGGGATCTCGGGGAGGGGCTCCAAGGGTTTTGGGGAGGACCAGGAGAGCCCCAAAGGTTTGAGGGGCCCCTGGGGGGCCCCCGCTGTCCGGGCGAGGGGGGCGGGAGGCGGAACTTAGCCACTGTGAACACGGCACGGCTGGACTCTGTTCACAGGTGGGCTAAGCCCTGCCCCCCGGCCCCCAAAACCCCCCCAGCACCCCAAAAACACCTCCCAGAGCACCTACACAGCCCAGCACGCCCACCCTGACCCAAACTCCCCCCTAAAGCCCCCTCGAGCCCCCTCCCAAGTCTCCAGGACCACCTAAACCCCCTCCCCCGGGCCCCCGGACATGGTGGCGGGGGCTGGGGCCCGTTGGAAATCCCTGGCAATGTGATTTTGGGCAAAAACGGTAAAAAATCCCATCGCCAGGAACCCCGGCGGGCGGCAGCGGGGAGGGGGATCGGCCACCCCGGTTGGGGAGGGTCGGACACCCCGCGGGGGGGGGGATCGGCCACCCCGGTGACGGTCCCGGTGCTCCCACGGTGCCATCTCAGCGTCGAGACCGGAGCCCGGTGCCACCTGCGGGAACGGAGGGAGGGGTCACCCCTGGAGGATCATCCCTGGGGGGCTCCAGGGTCACCTCCGGGGGGGTCCCGGGGCAGGGGAGTCTCTGTGGAGTCGGGATGGGCACGTGGTGACACTGGTGGGACCGGGACAGGACCGGGACAGGACCGGGACACGGCACGGGGACATGGCTCCGGTGGCTCTCTCCAATCCCAGCACGGCCAGACCCGTCACCGGTCTGGGGTGTGAAATGTGTCCCCGGCCGTGCCACGTCCCCAGCGTCCCCTCGGTGTCCCCACGGCGGGACGGGCACTCCGGGACCCCCTGGATGTCCGGAATGGGCCGGGAGCCGCGTCCCCCGGTGCCATCGTGTCACCGGGTACCCGTCAGCCCGTGCTGGGACCCCCGTGGCCCCCAGGCCGTGGCCGTGGGTGCCACTGTCCCGGCCCCGGTGTCCCCAGCGCTGGTGGCCACGGTGGCTCTGGGGCTGGTGGCCGCGGTGGCCCCGGCACTGGTGTCCCCGGTGTCCCCGGGCCGGGGCTCTGCAGGCGCCATGTGGGACCCACGAGGCCCCGCCCGGTCGTGACATCAGCGTCGTCACGACAACGGGGCGACTTCAAAGGGAATCGGGTGGAACCGGCCCAAAAAATGGGGGTAAACAGCGGCGGCGGCACCGACACGGGCCCGGGGGGCCCGGGGGCCTCGGGGAGGGCTCGAGGGGTGCCCCGATCCCCGGTCCCTGCTGCGGGGGTCGCGACAGTCGCGACGGTGACGGCCCCTCGCTGCCAGCGGGGCCCAGCTGTCCCCGGTGCCAGCGGTGGCGGCACCGACACGAGGCCGGGAGGGGTCCGGAAGGGCTCGGGGGTCCTGGGGGGTCCGGGAGTGCCCAGACCCGGGGGTCCCCGGGAAGAGGTCACAGTGGTTCTGACAGCCACGGCCGTTCGGTGCCACCAGTCGCTCTGGCACCGTGGGCACAGCCCGGTGCCCCCCAAGTTTGGGGCGGGGGGTGACCTCGCGTTTGGGGGTGGCCCGGATTTTGGCTCCCCCCCGGGTTTTGGGGTGTCTCCCCCTTTTTTTTTGGGCCCCCCCCCGGTTTTGGGGGCCCCTCCCGGTGCCCCCCCGGCACCAGGGCGGTGCCGGCCCGGCCGCCCCGACCGGCTCCCGCGGCCCCGGGCGGGGGCGGCCCCGGCGGGGGGGGCGGGGGGTGGCCGGTGCCAAAATTCCCACCTTCGTCCCCAAAACGGGAGTGGGAAAAGGCAGCGGCGCCGCCCGGCGCCTGCGGAATGCAGGAACAAGGGTGGGATGGGGGGGCCGAGGCTGGGGGTCCGTGGGGTGGGGGGCTGATATCGGGGGGCAGTTCGGGGCTCCGATGTCGGGAGGTCCGAGCGCTTGGGGAGCGGAGGGGCTCCCCGGCTGGGTGTGTTGTGGGGGCGGGGGGCTCTGTGTGTTGGTGGTCCCAAGGCCAGAGGGATGAGGCCGGGGGTGCCGTGGGTGGTCTGGGGGTCCCAAGGCTGGGGCGGGTCTGGGGGCTCCGATGCCGCGGGGGTCCGCGGGGCTGGGGGTCCAACGCCGGAGGGTCTGGGGAGAGCCAACACCGAGTGGATTTGGGGGTTTCCAGGCCCGGGGGGGTCCTGTGGGTTTCGGGGCTCCCAGGCCAGGAGGGGTCTGGGATTTGGGGATGTGATGCCAGGTGAGTCTTGGGAGTTCCCAGGCCGGAGGGGCTCCGTGGGTTTCGGGGTTCCCAGGCCGGGGGGGGGGGGGGGGGGGG